TGATCTTGAGTTTGAAGGAGATTTCTTTAGTGATGATGAAGCTTGCTTGGAATCTTTTTCTCCTACACTAAGTGAGAAGGAGGTCAGCAGCAACAAAAGCAATGGTTCAGGGTCTCAAGACAAGAACCCAACAAGCACCAAATTATTCACTCTTGGGTCCTCTTCTCAAGTCTTAACTCTCACTCCATGGAAGTTTGATGGTGGAGCTGTGGAATACAAGGTTAAAGGCATTGGAGGATCAAAACCTTTTGCAAAAGTCAGGGCAATCCTCACACAAGAGCTCATAGATAAAGGGTCATCTGGTGTTCAAGAGCTGATGAGCAGGGACCTACTGCTTGAATTCATGGACAAGACAAGGAGCATCAAAGCTCCTCCTCTCACTCACTAAGAAAAGAGTATGAAAAGTCAAACTTAGTGACTTAAAACAAAGTGCTCTTGGGAGACACCCCAAACTTATCTTTTGTAAATATTTTTTTAATGCTTTCTTTTGCTGTTTTTAGGATGTTTTGATGTGTTTTGTGGAGTGTGTTCAGGTTACAGATGACCTAGTATTCTTTGGCCTCAAAGAATGGTGGAAAAGATGCAAGGAAATGCAAAATTTGGCTAAGTTCACAGTTTGCCACGACCATGAATCATTGCTTGACCCAGGCGTGGCATGAGGCTTTTTCTTGGATGCCAACCTTCGGTGATTGCCATGGGGAGATTGCCACGCCCAGAATTGAACCGTGGCAAGTTGAATTTTGAATACACCACCATTCGGCTTTTGCCACGGGAGGAATGCCACGGGTAGATTCAAGGCGTGGCAGCATGTTTTAAGGCAGCAGAACCTTCGGCTTTTGCCATGGTCTCTTTGCCACGGTCACATCCAAGCCGTGGCAATGTGTTAGAGGAAAAACAAAAGAATGCCACGGGCTGTCCAGAGGAGCTTCCAGACCGTGGCAACAGGGGGTGGCAAGAGGAACAATGCACAAAAATGAGCTCCAGCCCTCACTACAAGCACGTTCAGATCAGTGCAAGGAGCAGCATCAAAACTTGGACACCTCCAATGATGTTTAGCCTCCTGAGATTCACAATTCCACTACTCCCTTCCATCAAAAACAAATCTGGTAACACTCCAAACTCCTTGTACACATGCATCTAGTTCTTTATTTCTCATTTTGCATCTTTCTTGCTTTTGCCTTTCACTCCTCTCTTATGCTTTTATAACACAAGGGACTGTGTTATTTAAGTGTGGGGGAGGGAGGTCATGTTTACTAATCATGTTTATTTTGTTCTTATTTTCGTTTTTTTTTTTGCATCTTGAGTCTCATTTGACCATGCATCTCATCTAAGTGCATATAAAAACCAAAACAAAATAAAAAAAAAAATCAGAAAATTTTTTACAAAAATGTTCATTCTAGTTTCATTTCACATTTTTAGGATTGAGTCTAGTTGCATCATATAGGTTGCATCTTGCAGGGAGTAATGATAGGTTTTCCTAGAGAGTACACCACTTTGAGAATTTTGATTAAATATGCTTGTGAAATGACTTCTATGCTTGCAAGGCTTGAAATGATCTGAATCTGAGAAGCAAGTTTGAATTGAACTCAACTCTAATAAGTGAAAACCCTGAACTTGACTTGAAATTATCATTTGGTGTATTGTTTGAATAAACTTGTGGATAGCAATACACATATTTGAGCTAGAATCCTGTTTCTACCATCCTCTTCCTTAGCTCAAATAGCTGAATCTGCATAATAGATCAGTTTTCCTCACCCTGAACCCATCCTTCTTTCAAGCCAATTGTTTCTGTGTGATTGAGAGGCCACCTTGGACCAAACTTAGCAGAAAGTGTTAGGTTTAGGGCGACAAGGGCAAGTGTCATTGAGTGTCAAGTTCCATCATCAAAGAGCTGAGAGATTTGGCGAGAACTAAGTGTGGGGGAATACTTGTTGGTGAGTGGAAAAAGGAGAGATGAGTGGAAATAAATGGAGAGTGGTGAGAACTAGGGGATAGAAAAAGAAAAGAAATCGGTCTTGGAAGTTTTGAGTCAAAGAAAGTGAACTCTAGTGTTTTGGAAAGAAAGAGTCTAGCCTCTAAGGGAAAAAAAAAAAAGAAAAGAAGCCAAAGAGCTCAAATGTTCTAAAAAAGAAAAAAAAAAAAAAAAGAAGAGGCTAGAGGTTACAAAAGAAAGTGAAAAAGAGCTGTGTAAAGTTTGAACTCCAAGACTTGTGTATGAAAAGAAAAAGAGAATCCCCTAGTGAGAGAAGAATGAGTGTGAAAAGTAAGCAAGTAAGGAAACTTTGAGTAGAGTGTGGGGTGGGATGAGTCCTTGCCCTTGTATGCATAGGTTGCCTTTTACCTTTAGCATTCTGCCAAAGTTTGGTCATTCATAGAGAGATCTTTTTGCTGCATTGAACCCACTCAGGCATTGATGAGATCATTTTAGTCTCATAACCTCACCCTAGCCAAATTCTGTTTGTTTAAACAATACATCATTTGATCCACTTGGTAAAAAGATTAATGAATGTTAAAGAGTTGAGGAATAGGAGAACTTGTGGAGATTACTGTTGAGTTGATACACCAAAGTATGGTTTTGCATTGCATATTGAGCATGAACTTGAATTCTCTTAGTGGTCACTTCTCTCAAAGGAAATCTGAACTCCCATGCATTCAACCTCTCTCTCTCATTTGTTCTTGTTTGCTTGAGGACAAGCAAAGGAAAAGTGTGGGGGAGTTGATATACTCACATTTTGTCATGTTTAGGATTGCATTTTTGTCCAAATGTTGAGTCTCATGCATACATTTAGGTAGTTTTACATATATTTGTCTTTGCTTTTGTCTTTAGTTAGGAATTGCATTAGGTCCTAGAGAGTTTTGCACTTTTGGAGTGTTTACAGGTAATTTGGAGCTAATTGGGAGCAATTGGGACAAAAGACATGGAGAGACCCTCACCTTATGTGCATCAGACTCGGACAAGTGTTATGGAGCCGACGATCCCTCAACTTTATCACCTGAGAAGGAGGGCGTTCACCAGGATTCAGCCTCCGGAGTCTTCATAAAGAACCAAGAGCCTCGAGTCTAGTTTCCAGACACTTTAGATCATCCTATTTGGAGTTTTGAGCTGAAAGTTACGGCGATAAGAAGCAGTACATGTCTCAGAGCGGATAAAGGACCAAAGCAATGCGCATCAAAGAACCGGTGGAACGGAGCCCTTGCCGACGTCATCTGAACCCGAACCCTTCATCAAAGTTGGAAATGATAGAGTCACGGTCCCAGAACAGGTCGAATCATTGGATTTGGAGTCGTGAGATAAGAGTTAAGGAAGGCAAGAGACATACATATCAGCCAGACGTCAAGAGTGGATAAGGTGCTAAGTGTCATGATTTGACACGGTGATAATGCCACGGCCTTAGCTTGGTCGTGGCATAATATGACAACTCTCGGGATTTGACATGGTCTTGAAGCATGGCCTTGGACCTGACCACGACAAGCAATGAAGATCTTTGACACGCCCATAATGTCATGGTCGAGATTTGACATGATCTTGAAGCATGGCCTGATGTTTGGCCGTGGCAATCACCGAATCATCAACACCTTGCCACGCCCAACATGAAACGGTCCAGATCAAGAACGTGGCAATCCAAGAAGTTCATCACCCAAACCCAGAAAAGAAGAGACGTGGCCACTAGACATGGTATAAATCAAGCTATGGCAACCTTGATCATGAAGAATCTGTCCAAGAACTTTGACACTGTCAGTTTGCCACGGTCTGGCCAAGCATCATATGACCGTGGCTAACCACACCACTATCCATCAAAGCCGGGTCAGGACCCAGTTTGTCCTGGGCTGACCCGGTCCGCAAGAGACACTATATATGCTTTTTAGGGTTTTTTCCAAGGGAGGAGCTTGGTTTTCTCTCTTGTTTTCTTTCCTTTTTAGTGTAAAAACGAGTTTGTTAAGAAATATCTCAAGGATTTAATCAATCTAAGTCTGTTTCTTATCATCTCATCTTCTTATCTTTGCTTCTAATCATGATTAACATCACCTCTTGCAAAGGAAATGGTGTGTTCATCATTATTAGTGAGTAGTCTTCTTTTAAGCTTCTAGGTGTGTAGATTAGGATGCTTAGATGTAGATTAATGATTGTTTAAGCTTAGATTCTCTTCTCCTTTCCTTAGTTAGCTGATCCTAATGCTAGATCTCTCATTATAAGCTTGATCTAGAACTTAGGCATTTCTCCACCCACAAGGTGTTTGATGAAATGCCTGAATGAGCTAACTTAAGGGTTTATGCCTTTTTCATCATGGGAATGATTGTTAAATGCATGAATGACATATTAGAACTGTTTCTTAATGCTCATTGATTCATATTTCAAAAATGATGATTTGGTTTGAAAATGGATTAGTATAGAGTTTAGTGCCTTCATGAGAGGATTAATCTAGATTAGAGTTCTAAGTTAATTGGAATTTGATATCATTTGATGTTTGTTTTATCTTTCTGTATAAGATTCAGTCTTTCTTAGCTCTTATTTTGATGCACAAAGAGGCTGTCTGGTCATGTTAGACTTGGAACCTTATGCTTGTTGATTGTTTATTCATCTAATGGGAATGAGTCTTGAATTGGGAATTAACAAAGGGATTTTTGTCATGAGAATGAATTAATCTGATTTGGAAGTCTAGACTAAAGAATTGCAAGTGTTGCATTGTTTGCTTAGCATCATGAATTCACATTTAAAGCACCCTGATCAATGATCACATCTAGAGGTTTAGCTTTCTCTTTATTTGAATTTGAGTGTTTGTTTGGTTTCTCTTGCTTGTTTAATTCTTAATTACTGCTTGTTCTTGTTTGCTTTATGTTTTTAGATCACCTTGTTACCAACTCATCTGCTTATTAGACTTGAATTAAGATAGCTCCTCATAGTTCTAGAGTCTAGAATCTCTCCATTTGGATTGATACCTCAAGTGCTACAATGACATGAGTAGTTGAGGAACTGATCAAGGATTGAAAAATTCCTACTATCACAGATGACTGGGTCCATATCTAGGCTCCGCAGATCTGTCAACTCTTTGTTTTGCTCTGTCTGAGGAGGTGAGAGCAGGGAGAGCTTTTCGATCTTCCTTCCTCTGTCGATCTGCTTCCAGTCGCTGCAAAGTTTGCTGATTGTTAATGTGGCTGTTTGGGGACTCGCGGATTGAGCTCTTGTTCGCTTGAGGGCAATCCTCCTTTTCATGCGACATAGACATACATATGAAACAGTGTTTCTCTAGCCGTGTGTACTCAAAGATCACAGATACTTCCACGCCAGAAGAGAATTGTATCGATTTGCGCTGAATCAGCGGTTTGAGGCCATTAACATACACACGAACAGCAGCATCTTCTATATCGTGATTGTCATAGGTTCCAAGAACATTACCAATGGCCTTTAGATTGTTTTCAGTACAGCAATGTGACGGTATTCCATGCACTCTGACCCAGAAAGGGATTTTTGAGGGAAAGGCCTCTGATATAATAGGTTCCCATCGCTGCAACACAAACATCCACCTCTTAAAGTTAAAGGGGGCTTCGCTAAGAACAGCTTGAAGGTCAGCTTCGGTTTTGAGTTTAAACTGGAACTTCTCCGGTCCCAAATCTCTGCCGGTGATCCTATCTTCCATTCGCCATACCTGCGGCATAAACGAAACCAGATTTTTTTGTTTTTGTATAGCGGGATTCAACACCCTACCGATGAGCGTAAGCTTGTTGGCTTCAATGAGTGCGGGGTTTGCTTCATCAGGGAGTTTGATGGGAGGCTCACGGATCCAATGATGCGAACGAACGATGTCCTTACCCTTCTCTTCTCTGGAATATCGGCGATCCATTCCGCCGTGGTTAGCACGTAAAAAAGTCGAAGACAAAAAGCACCAACTGCAAAGTACAGTAAAAGGACGCAAACGAGCGTAAGGGTGGACAGGAGTGAAAGCGCAGAGTGATGACGGCGGGAGGCAAGAGGGGCGATGCAGATCAGAGGCTCAATCAAAGCGGAGATGAGGCTCGATCAGATTCGCCCTTGGAAGCCCTAGAGAGCGCCGCATTTTTTCTCTAGTTTTTACTTTTATTCCGTTGTACTCTTTTACATATTTCTTTGTTTAACAGATATTGGTTGGGACTTACAAATGGATGCTATTATTTGAACAAACAAATTTAACATATAATCTTTACAAAGAAATTGCGATAAAAAGTAAGGTTAAGGCTGGAAAACACTATACCAATACAACTTTAACTTTTTTCCCTGCAGCTATTGAACGCTAGCACACAGGAGTATACTACCAAAGTATGAAAAAAACGTTAAATACGTTTTAAATTAGAAATTCCACGAGCTATAGATGTATTTTGAAAGCAAATAGAATTATCAAATTACAACAATAACAATTATGTCATGGCAGAAACATATTTATAAACTTTATACAAGAAAACAACAACAAAATACTAATGAAAATATATAAAATAAACTCGAGCCCGCACAAGGTGCGTGCCAAATCACTAGTCTTATATATAAAAAAGGACCATTTCTCTCCATAAGTGCCATATTAGTATTTCAGAGTTAATATGGGAATAACATGTATCATACTTTAAATTTACAATTTAAAAAAAAAATTAAGAAATTTTAATTTTTAGTATTAAATGACTCAAAGAAAATGAAAAAAATATTTTATTAACTCTTATCATCTGTGTAAATGTTGAACAAGAATTATATTATAATTAATTAACAATATTGATAATGTTTTTTGTATAAATTCTTGATTTTTTTATATTATATTTTAAATTGATTAATTTATAATAATATATTAACATATAATAAATGATGATTATATTTGTTTAGAAAAATATAAAAATATATAATTTTGAAATAGTTGAAGAAAACAATTTGCAGGTTACGTGCATATATTTTTTTTTTTTGAATGAATGTTAAATTTTATTCAACAAAAAAAACAGTCTGTTCTACATCAAATTGATGCGAGCTTTTGTAAAATAGAATACAAGATCAAAACTTAGAAAATTAATCAAATAGCAAATTCAAAATTTTCCTCCTCTTGATGTGTTTCATGTGTTTGCTTGTGAAGCAAGCCACATCTGCATCCCATCTTCATATCGGCTATCTCCAAGCTTCCTGATTGAGTTGAACCGATTTCTCATCACTTTATCAATATGCTTGACCAGTTGTGCAATCGAGCTGGCTATCGTTCCATGACGTCTACTGTTTCTTTCACGCCAAATTACATAGATCATGAGTTGGAAAGCATAACGAAGGATGAAGGTCCTCAGCTTATATATTGTTTCCCGGATCTGAGATGAGCAACACTATATCAGTCCACCGTTTCGAAAACTTGTGCTCCATGATGCCTGCAGCAACCTTGTTCCACAAATTCCCCGTGAAAGAACATTAAAAAAATAAATGTCCTCTACTTTCCATCGGCTCGGCACAGAAAACACAGTTGGTGGCTATGTTTTGGTTCCATGCACTCCTACGATCCCCTGTGCTTAAACAGTTATGCATTGCGAGCCATGTAATGAAACCGAACTTCGGTGTATGATGCTTAAACCAAACTCCCTTTGTCCATTGTAGCTTCGGTGAAAGATCTCTGAGATGATCTCTCGTGTCTTTAGTGCTGAAAGATCTTTTATAATTATCACCCTTTGATCTTCAAAGGAAAACATCCTCCTTATTTGCTTGATAACTCTGTTTCACCTTATACATTTCATCCTCAACCATATTGTAGATTTCTTGCCTGTGTCTCCTTCTTCGGTGATTGAGAATAGCATTCTCCACTGTTGATGAAGCACTAATACCCATGTCTATGATTCCTCTGGCTCCAAAAAGATTCAGCAAACCACTCATTGACGACCATGCATCATACCAGAAAGACAATGAGCGACCGTTTCCAACCTCCACTTTGAGAAACTATAAAGCCTTATTGCGACATTTAAGCATCTGTTTCCACGCCCAAGAACCTCGAATAGAACCAGTGTCTGGTATTGACCAGATCGACGAATCTCGCATATGGTTATGTTGGGACCATCTAACCCATAAAGATGACTTTGCGGTGAGCAATCTCCATATTTGCTTCAGTCCACACACCTCATTTGCTACCGGAAAGCTTTTTAGACCTAAGCCTCCTTCCTGCTTTGGCTTACATACATCTGGCCATGCTATTTTTGCCTTATGTGGTACAAGAGCAGGTCCAGACCATAAAAAGGCAGAGCAGATACTCACCAGTTCGTCAATGCATTTGTTTGGCAACCCGAATGATGCCATCCAGAAGTTTATAAGACTAGATATGACCGAGGAAAGGAGCTGCAGGCGTCCTGCAAATGATAGATACCTTGTCGTCCATGTGCTTATTCTCCTTCTTATCTTCTCGATCAGAGTAGAATAATCAAGAGATGTCATCTTTTGAGTCAGCAGAGGCAGTCCTAAATATCTGACTGGAAGTTCACCGAAACCAAAAGCAAATCTCTGTGATTTCCTCTCTTTAACTGTTTCAGAGACTCCTGGAAGGTATGCCGTAGATTTCTCCAGGCTTATCCTTAGGCCTGACATTGATGCAAACTCGTCAAAAACACTTACTATACCCTCCAGAGATCGCAAAGTTCCATCCGAAAAAATCATCAGGTCATCATACGTGCAGATATTCACCTAGTGCTAATAAAGTTTGTAAAGTTAAGCTTATTAAAGCATATTAATTCAAAGTTATGTTGCTACGTATTAGTCGGAACAATATCATTGATTCCAAAAGCTTGTTATGCACATACAAAAAAAAAGAGATATAAGTTGCAAAAATATTATTGATTAGACTAGAAAGAGACAAAGCATCATCAGTTTGCCCTAGCCGAACTTTTTCTCTCTTCTCTCTTTTCAAAAAAGTTTTTGATCTGAATTTGGTTTCGGCTGGTGACATGTCCAGCCTTTTACCAGTGCCATGCTGCTTTTTTTTTGCTCAAACAGTGGGGTGTCTTCTCTGTTGAGCCATCTACTAGCTCTTCTCTGAAGCCTTCTTGGGGTTTTGTGGTTGGGTTCAAGGTGAAGCAATGATTTCGATCTTCAGTTCTTTTCTTGAGTGGAGGTGATCGCTTTCTTGTCTGTAGGTGGCTGGATCTGGTTTACGAGTTGGTGGTCTTCTCTGGCGTTTTCCCAGTCGGTCTTCAGGTTCTTTACCTTGTGCCTTGGTCTTCTCGATTGTATCTGTTCTTTGCTGCGACCGTGTTGGTGTAGTTGCGATGCTCTATTCGTTTTTATTCCTCGATTATTTGCCTAGTGCGTTTTGTTGGTTTCGCGGAAGGTCATTATATTGTGATTCTTCTCGTGCTTTATGGGATTCGAGTCAGTTCCAGTGGTTTACAGTTCTATAGATTTGATCGTGGGAGTGATGGGGTTCACCAGCTTAGCTTTTGATTAGGCTTCTCTAGCTTTTTTCATCGTTTTTACTTTTTCAGTATCTTTTTCTTTTCTCTAATGGTGTATCATTTGGTTTCTTTTCTTGTTTCCCCTGAGATGGGGCTGTTGTCTCCGGGAGTTTCCATGTATTTGCTGGCTCTGTCTCTGGAAGGAATTAGTTCCTTGTCGGCTTGATGTAACTCAAGTATTATGAATAAATTCAATAGATGAGAAAAAAAAGATTAGACTTTAGAGAGAGACATGTATTCACAAAATACTATCATATTTATTGGGAAATAGAACAGAGAATATTTTCAAGGATCTAGAACATCCTTATTTGAGCTTATCTTTTACTTGATCACCAAGCTACAGCTTCTATATAATGTAATCGATACATTGAACTCAATACATGTGAAGATGTTGTCGTTTTGGATTTCTCACAAATGTTGGGCTTATCTCGTTACATTGTTTTGGGCCACGCGGTTTCATTTAACGGCCCGAGAAGCATTGAAGTCCATATATAAAAAGAGAGCATCGGTCAACTTCATCTTCATCACGTGGAAAGTCAATAACAGAATAGAGAGAGAAAGTGGAACAGAGCAAGAGAGAGAAAGCTTGAGAAGATTCTCGGTGAACGTCGGTGCTTTGTTCACGGTTGCTCAGTGCGGCGTCTCCGGCGACGGTTGGTTCTGAAGACTCCGAGTTCTTGTTCCGATTCAAACTCTCGTCGATTCTTCTCCGCGAGCTTACTTAGAAGATAGCTGTATCAAAAACAGCTTGTTAGACACTTGTATCTGGAGATTTGATATATAGTGCAAGCATGGTGGTTTAGTTCCACTCCCAGATGTACCAAGAGGGAACTGGGTAAACAAATTGTGTTTGCGTTCTTAGATCGAGTAGGAGCTTAAGAACTAATCATAGATTCAATCAATCTAGGTTCAAGATCACTAACTGGGACTAAGAATTAGTATCGGTCTTGAACAATTCTTAACAGAGTGGTATCAGAGCCAGGTTATAGACGCTGGAAGATTACTGGTGTGTAATCAGGAGAAGTCTGTGATCGCGAATCTAGATTTCGTGATTGATCTTGGTGTATCAAGAGGTGTTGAGGTTTTGACACCGAATCAAGAATGGCTAGTGATTGAGCTTGGGTGTGTCTCCGGGTGGAGTTTTCTGATCACGAATGGAGGCAGTAAAGAAGTTTGAGATGGAGAAATTTGATGGAAAGGGGGATTTTGGAATGTGGAAGTTTCGAATGTTAATGCAGCTAGAGCTGCAACGTTTTGGCAAGCAAGTTAGAGAACTCAGAGGTGAGCTGGAACTGGATTCGAAAGGAAAAGAAATCGAGGAGGTAGACTCAAAGACTGGAGTTGCTTTGACTGCGGATCAGATCAAAGAAAAGGATGTGAGGGTCAGAAACTTGATCTGTTCAAGTCTTACATCCAT